AGTAAAAACACTCTCATTGTCAGTTAGACTAGGGAGCGCTGAACACCAAACGAATTCCAGTCTAACGCCATGATGCAACTATTCGATCTCTAAGGATGTCCGTGTTGCATACTCACATCAATGAAGGCGTTTTGACTCTCCTGGCACTCGACGCTGTACGTGCAGTAAGGCGCGGCGGGCCAGTATGGCGAAACCAAGAAACGCCGTTCCTTGAAATTTTTTTCTTAAATGTGATTTTTTTCCTCCTCAAAAAATATTCTGTGAGAATTTGATAAAATGCTCTTGCTAACCCTTCATTCAAGAGAAATGAACTGAGAGAGGGAATTTTGGAACGTCACAATCGAGATACATGCACGGTTCGTTTCAGAGGGAGGTAAATAAAATAGTGTTGCCCACTCAAAATTCCTTCGGGATCTTGAAGTAGGATGCATACACAGTCATTTAAGCCTAAAATGAAAATATTCTGTCGAGCTCTTCGAAAATAAAATCGATTTTTGTGTTTTTGGCGCTAAAATGGCCTTCAAAAACGATCAATGATTCAATTCCGATGGGTTGTGCATATGCAAAATGGTACATGTATGATGAAATCTACGTATTTTTGGACCAGGAATCGATTGAGCAGGGTCCCGAATCGGTTCGAAGCTTGATTGACCGAAAAATGGGCCTTTCTTGGGATTTTAGGGATATTTTGGGCCCATTTTTTCCCAATTTTGGCGTGAGAAAACCTGTGCCGTCATGGGTATTGATTATTAGGTAATTTCGGGCAAGAAATCGAATGCGCTTGGTCCCGAGTCACTCCGGGGCTTCCTAATCCAAGAATACGCTGTAGGCCCAGGTGGAGCTCCGGAAGAGCTTTGAAAATACTTTTTGTCTTTTATGTTCAAACTGGATGCTGAAATTGGCCTTTCTTTGACTTTAAAATGAGACTCCTGAATAAGTAACAAGAAACTTTTCTATAATTTGATGACCTTTGGCCTCCTTTAGCCAGTCCACTGTGTAAGCTCCTGCATGAAAGCACGATGCATATCTCAGATCTGATCATGCGCTGTGAAGAATGATATCAGTGCGCACGCATGCTGATCTGCACTGATTGACGGGTTCACACACATACATATCAATTTCTCTTTTTCAAAGACCTTCTAACGAGAAATCGTATGCGCTTCATGAAGAGACGGTATAAATTTGGACTCGAAAAATGAACTCCTCTCGTGGATTTATAATATTTATATGCAGAATAACTATTTTCCCTCCTTTTTCGGTCAAACAAATAATCTTAACCCATCCAAGCCGAGAAAAATTTTTCGGCCTAAGAAGCCCCGGAGTGACTCGGGACCAAGCGCATTCGATTTCTTGCCCGAAATTACCTTATAATCAATACAAATGACGGCACAGGTTTTCTCACGCCAAAATTGGGAAAAAATGGGCCCAAAATATCCCTAAAATCCCAAGAAAGGCCCATTTTTCGGTCAATCAAGCTTCGAACCGATTCGGGACCCTGCTCAATCGATTCCTGGTCCAAAAATACGTAGATTTCATCATACATGTACCATTTTGCATATGCACAACCCATCGGAATTGAATCATTGATCGTTTTTGAAGGCCATTTTAGCGCCAAAAACACAAAAATCGATTTTATTTTCGAAGAGCTCGACAGAATATTTTCATTTTAGGCTTAAATGACTGTGTATGCATCCTACTTCAAGATCCCGAAGGAATTTTGAGTGGGCAACACTATTTTATTTATCTCCCTCTGAAACGAACCGTGATGGTTTGGCAAAGTCGCTGTCGATATCCAAAGTACATCATGCAAAGTCTTTTGTGTTGAATGGTATACAAATCGAGATGGAACACTCAAGAATCACAAATTTTCACCATTTTGGCTTTCATAATCCAAGTTATCTGATCATGGGCCCAAAGCTTGAAGCCTTTGAATTCGAAAAGAATATGGTATCATATATCTAGCCAGTAAGAAAAATAGGACCTGTAAATTTACATCGATCATAATTTAAAGTACGCTGTATACTTCTGAATGGTAGTCGCAAGTTGAAATTTTGCTTCCCGCGTTCTGACAACAACGCAGCGGTTTTCCCTAAGAATAATATTTGACTGCCATGATATGCTCGCACAGGAGAGCAACTCAGTTGACCGTGTGAATACACCAAATTTCCTCCGTAGACAAACATGAAGATCTCATCTCGAGCAGAGATAGGGGTTCCCAAACAATCACCACAAACAGCCGCGCAGAGGAGTATAAAGTCAAATGGCACTATCCTAAAAATTGTAATGGCACTGTCCTGAAAATTGTAATGGCACGAGTAGGTATAGCGTTACTTTGCATCAACGGACATAATTTCATCTACTTTTGTGCCAGGTATAGAAAATGAAATTACTTGACAATCTCAAATTCTATAATTTAAACATTCTAGGCATCCCTGGTGAAACGGGAGAGCGGTGTTCATCTACACTCCGCAATCGAGCGAGTCATAAGCGGTTAAGCAAACAAAAAGGCATGCCTCCCGCCTTTAACGATATTTAAATGAGCGGGATTTTGAAGCCGAACTAACTTCTCCGCGCCGTGGATTAGTTTTACATTTACGTCCGACGCAAAATGTATGCCATTACAACACCCTTTCAAGTGAAACTTCACTTCATTAGGTTTTATACATTGAAGAGGAAAAAATAACTTGGATTTAATTACATTTTTTTTTTTTGGTTTAACATAAGTCCTTTTTTTGACAGACAAATTGACTTTACCTATTTAAAGATACTTTTCTTTCAATAGAAGAATTTTGTCAAAAAATTGATTAAATTTTTTCTGGGCCATTTTTTCTTTAAATAAAGGATCTCCTTTTAAACATAATCATAGATAAATAATTTTTGCAGCGTTCTTGAGCATTATTTTGGTTTTACTTTTAGAAATTTTTGGTGCTGGTGTCATTCTATGTTAGTCCGTGTTATAAGGTACAAACAAATGAATTTCGAAACAAAGTCGACTGAGAAATCAATGCGTTGTATCGGTGGCTGAAGTGTAAATGCCTATCTTCGATTTATGAGTTGCAAATTTTCTCTCATATATTATTTTAATATAAGTAACAAAGCCGACAATTTCTTTTGGAATTTTTTGGGATTTTCGCCCATTCTTTTAAAAATATTCACGGAGGCTATGAAGGAGATATTTCAGTCAGCTAGTTTTCCTTTGAAGAAATAAAACACATTTGGAGATTTCAACACATCATAATGAAGGTACGCATTTTTTCGAACTTATTGATATAGTTGGTAAATTGAAGCTGTTATTGTAGATAAGTATAATCACCGAAATTGATTTCGCAACTCGCCTCTTTTTTTTGAATTCAGTCCTTTTGTATTTTTCAGTGTTGCTCATCTGAGGCAGCTACGATCCCAGCTCATGATCCGGAATATTTTAAAATCATGAGTAAGATATGTGAATCCTCGGACGTAATTAATTATAATTTTTTAAATATAAATTTGTCAATTTTCCTTAATAAAATTACCACGAGAAAGCTACTGACCTCACTTTGAACCCGATTAAATAATAAGGTCAACTCTATCGTACTATAGAAAAACATCCCACGAATATTGAGACGTTGCCAAATTTCTGCGTATAATTTGAATATGCGTCATTTGTTCATGAGAGATTTTCAGGAGGAAGCATTCGTAACTTTATTTTTAAGTAAATATGTTGCTAGAAGAGATTCGGTAACGTCCAATGTTGATATTGCGTTTTTCCATAGCGAGGAATAACTGAAAATATACCTCGCGCGCTTAATGTGCCGGTGCCTTTGAAAAGAAGTTCACCGCATTAAAGGTGACTGAACGTGCAAATGTTTTACGGTTTTTACCGTGCGAAGGAAAAACGCCGTAGAACCATTCGAGCATTGCCAAATTCCTTCCTAAAAATTTTGAAATATCTAGAAACTGAACGAAAAAAATTCGTCAAATAACCCACCGAATTTCGGTCATCAATTTCTTTGGCGCCTACAAACCTAACTGGATACTTCAAGCATTGCGCATTGCGTGAAGCATCCCTTTAGGTTTGTGGGCGCCAGTGCGCGTTCCGCGCAGCTCTGAAAATTTTAATGAGAGATATCCTCAACTGGACGTATTTATGCTAAATGGAACTATGCGCAAGTGGTCAGATGGGGTGTGCTTGTTAGTCGAGGGCCATAAGAATGAATGGGAATTTTGAAGCGCCAGTGACGTCAGAAGAAGAAGAAGCTGCCGTCGCCGAGCATTAACTCATGAGCCCTGTCTAGAAGGCTTTTGTCACATCTCCACGGCTCACGAGTAAGTCCTCAGTTCCTTTTGATTTAATGCAAAATCCCGCTTTTCCATTTTCTCAAAAGGAACTATATCCACCTCTAGATTGTTTCTTATCCAGCTCACCACGAGCACACCCCATACTTCCTTTTGCACAAGGTTCCTTTTGGTATAAATACCTCCAACTTACACTGGAAAAAAAACACATTGGATCTAGCGTCCAGACTCTTGAAAACATTGACAAGAAAAAATACTCTTGATTCGATCGGACTTTTGCTTGAATCAAAACGAAATCCGCTTAAATGAAGAGGCCTGGTTCTTGATTTAAGCTAGATTCTGATTGAATCAAGAGTACTTTTTCTTGTCGATGTTCTTAAGAGTCTGGACTCTAGATACAATGTGTTTTTATTTCTTTTTCCCAGTGTACCTAAAAAATAAATATTATATACAGAGGAATCTGGCAATATCCGAATACTCTTACGGCGTTGTTCCTCAGCAGGGCGGATTTACCATTCACACGAACTAAGTGCTTCTCGCGTAGCGGAGTTCGGATCCAACAAAACCCGAGTGACGGCTCCGGCTCCGAATATCTTGTTAAACGAACGTAACGACGCGTTGCAAAATTCATTTGACGTGACGTTTGCGCGTGAAATTCAGCATGATATTCGGGCGGGGGCAGGAGGGGGGGGGGCGACGGGGTTTAATTAAAACTTTGCGGTTACCTGGCCGGAGTTTGCATTCCCTTGACAAAACGCTTCCGACGGCATTGGTCGCCATGCATTTGTAGCTCGCCGAGTGGATCTCCGTGTTGAAATCTTGGGATCTGAACGCCGGCAAGTATAAACTCCCGTTGCTCAGCAGCTCCCTGAAACAAAGAAGCGGCAAAAGTTTCTTAGATATGAATAACCACTCTCTTTCACGAGAACACTAAGGGCCAGATCCATAGTCATTCCTTTAACCCTGGTATCTCCGTTTGCGGCGTTGCAGAATGGAGATGTTGCATGTGTGAGGAATTTGCGATTTGACTGTTGATTCTTATGTAAAAGCTCGTGAGAAACACGATGGTGCCACTGGTTTTCTCTGAAATCAACTCCCAAGCTCAAAAAAAGCTCTCAAGTTGAGGCCAAAATGGAGGGGATATCCCACGCCATCTTGAGAGTCCACCTCTACATCAAGGCAAACTCTCCAAGCAAAGATAGGGAGCAGATGCATTGACAGGACTGCCACTTTATTTGGAGACTCCAAAAAATAAATGTTACCGGGGATTTCGAAACACCGAAACCAAGATACACATACTTGCAGTTTCACCGCCGATAAGTTTGCAATAGACTCCATCTGCCGTGCTAAGGGAAAACGCCATATGAACTTTCAGGCGTTGCACAATTTCCTTGGCTAAAACGCGAATATCCTGGTCAATTTATGAATATTTTCCTCCCAATTTTTCAGATAATTTAGTACGCAGTTTTACTTAAAGATTCTGAAAATTTAAAGGAAACATATCCATAACTTTTCAGAAAAAATAAACATTTTATCGAAAGAAATTTGGTAACTCTTGAATGTTCATACGGCGTTCTTCCTTAGCAGGGCAGTATAACTCACTCGAGTCGTTCACACCGCTGGAGGCTTGCTATAGATTGGACTGCTTTTCTGCGGTGTTAAGCAAAAACGCCGTATGAACATTCGAATGTTGCCAAATTTATCCTGAAAAACACATTTATTTCTTAAGAAAGCTCTGCATACTTTTCCTTGAAATTTTCATCTACTTCAGATTGAAATGCGAGCAAAATTATCTAAAAAATTGGTAGAAAAATATTCACAACTTTTTCCATAAATTTGTATTTTATCAAAGAAAATTTGGCAACGCCTAAAGGTTCATACGGTGTTTTTTCTTACCATCGAAGTTTTCGCAATTGACGCATTGGTTACAGAAAGAGCATTTCTTGGTTGCGATGTTTCAGAATCTTCACTGCTAATTTATATCTTCGAAAGGAGACTATTCAATGAATTTTCTGAATTTTTCTTTCTCCACATTGTTAAATTATGAAGAACATTCTATAAAAGTTTCAAAAAATTTCATAAATTTGCTCCCGCCATAATGGATGAGATGTTCGCGTAGATTATAGGACACTGCAACCAAGAAATGCCGTGTCTGCATCCAGCGCCTCAATGAGTAATATCTATTCCTGGCTCATCCATAAAAACATCAATTTGAGGAGGAAACTGACGGCACAATCGATGACTAAAGTACGAAATCACACTTGTCTCCATTGCGATGCTTCAAAATGTTCGTTCCTGTTTTATTTTTTAAAGGGAAGCAAACAAACTTTAAAGCGTAAAATTTAATTTTCTGCGAGAAGCAACCAAAACCTCTAGCTGTTAATATTTTTTTCAAATCTCGCTTTATAACTGAAACTTCACAAGTAAACAAGAACATGGAGGCTTCGCTTTCTTTCAATATTAAAATTATAATGGTCGCACTATTGGACTATTTATTAACGCTAAAAGGAACTTTGTCTCGCGCAAAGCCTATGCACGTACTTCCTTTTAGCATAAATACGTCCAATTTTCAGACAGGGCAATGGAGATTGCCGGTTTTGGTTCTAGACGTCCTGATTGTCCTTTTTATGAAACCATGTTCTGGATCTTCTTAAATCCTCCCAAGGAGAGGAGCTGCTTATAGAACGACTATGAGTAACCCCCCAGTTTTGGGGGTCATTCGTGTGAGCTGCTTCAAAGTCACTAAACGAGGAGGGTGAAAAGGGGGGGAGAGAGGCACAACTTGTGGTGACTCCCTCAACAAGTTTTCCGACCGCCGAACTGAACTTACGGTAAGACACTTTGTATATTGGGATTCCGTCATTTTCGCTCAACTTTTGTTTTAACGTGGGCATGGGAACCGGGGAATGCCCTGAACTTTCAAGATCAACGTTCAAGTCACTAAACTGTTGCCAAGAAACGACCGAGTCTTCCGAAAATTTATTCATCCCTAAACATTGCTTCGATTTCATTCGAATATTGAGGAAAATTAGCAAAGAGCTGACGATCTATGTAAGAACTGCTACACAGAAAAAAAAAAAAAATTAACTTACATTTGTATTGATTTCGGATGTAACGCATGAAGAAACGCAAACTTTCCGCGGTATTTCTCTTGGTTATAGTGTTCCTCTCGGATTACGCATCGCTTAATGTGATCCAAATTTGTTTGACACCTAGTGCGTCTTGACTTTGACCGAAATGAACCACTAGACAACTTGCGAATTTAAAAATTAAATTACATAATTTGCCACATCAAAATTTCACGTAAAACATGATTTGCACATCGAAAATTGCTGAAAGTAACTCGTAACAAAGATCTCATGTTTTTCGATACATCAACTCAAACTACCAGCTCATAGAAACAAACTCTACCTGAGAATAATCGCACCCTAAACGTCATTGATGCAGTCTCTTCGCCATGAAAATATGACAACTTCAATAACGATGCTTCGGCTCAGCTATCGCGCATTGTTTACAATTTGAACACAGGGTGGAGAGGGAAAATTACTTAGTTAGAAGCCTGCCAAAATCGATGTAGTGCGCGATGTGGTGCAAGTAGACTTTACCTCTTCATGAGAGTGGGAAATTCAATTTTTTTGGGGCCTTGGAGCTATATGAAAACATAATTAGGTATCTTAGTTGAGAGTCGATAGCAGTAATTTTTGTTGCAAAAATCGTGTTCTGCGTGACATTTTGAGGCAGAAACAGTCATAAGAATGCTTAAATTCGTGCCTTGTCCAAAGGTGCATTCAGAGGGATGGCGAGGCCTCACCGAGGCATTTGTTGAGAAAAGGGGAACTCGAAAATTTTCCGGGGAAAAATACTTTGCGAAAAACACGGACATCATTTTTTACAGCCGTGTGATATCGTCCGGTGACTAATGCAATCTTTCACGGGGGACTAAACGCCATGCCCAATTAACGGCTGTCTGCTGCTTACTTCCCCACCAGGGCACGCTGTAATTGCTATTCGCGCCTCCATCTCTGCCAAACCGTTGAGAAAAACGATCTAAAATGAATGATCTTTGTTGTATTTTCCGTAAAAATATAATCGAGAGTCGCCTCTCGGCTGCTGTGCAGTCCGGAAACATCTTCGGGGCGATAAATAAAAAAGAACATTATTTACAATTTCGAAGTAGGTAGGATCATTCAAAGCATTTGACCTACTGATAACCAATAAAATATGAAAATAAATATCTAGAGTCTTCAAAAATAAGTATGGCAAAAGAAATAAAATATGAGATTCAGACATTATTTGAAGCATTGCCCCTCCTTGGTGAAAGTGGCCATCGTATTAATATATTTGTGAGTAAGTATGCTTCCCTCTTGACAACCGAATGTAGACAATGTATCTAGACATATGTAGACATATAATCTACCCTAGAAAAATGAGTAAATAAAATAATGAATAGTAAGTATGAGAAGAAATTTTGAGCTTCTCAAATATAATATCCGGCCCGCACCGACTCAATCTATTTACCAAGCATCAGATGAGTCTTTAGTGTCCCATTCGACTTACACGACGATGTGGGTTTTTGTGTGATCGTGAAGCTTGAGTTGGCCAATTTTGATGTAAAATGACCGATAACTTCTCATCTACAGGCTGATTTAGGATCTTTCTTGTTCTGCTTTTATTCATAGGGGCCCGTTTAAGTATTAAATTTTTAATTTCGGCCGACTTTTTGACGCTCCTTCTCTTGAAAAGCACCCCTAATACAACCATTAACCCCCATTTTGATTTACGTACCTATGATTGACTTGTGCCCTCCTTCCAGTTTTTCAGAAAATAAACGAAGGAGCCTGAAAAATATAGCTGAAATAATTATTTTTACGAAGAAATAATAATTTGTTGTAAAAAGTGGCAGGCTTACGTCAAACTGCCCCCCCCCCCCCCCCCACACATAAGACCCAGAAGGACAAGCGAACCTCCCCTCCCTTCTAAGTAAGTATGCTCACGGAATACTTGACAAGTGATGTCCAGTGCTCTATGAAATCGATTTCGAGGGAGACTTGGCAGAGGTGGCATAAGGTTAAAATGAACAAATATCCTGAGGGCGAGCTTGGTTCGGGTCATCTCGGGACCGAAACCGCCATCATCATTTGATAGTTGCTGCTTAATTTGATTCGTTAGGTTTCGATGGGGTTGATGTGAAGCTATTCCTGGAACGTAACACTGTTATAGAAAAGTTTTCAGCGTCATCGCAACTTTAGGACTCGATGCTCCAGCCATGAAATCACCTCGTCGGAGTCATTCAAAATTGAGCTGTGTACCAACTCGTTTTAACCAAAACTGCGAAGCCAAAAAGTCTCTATAATTACTCTGGGCCTGTGTAAAATGTGTTCGCTAAAATTGTTATGCCTATCTAATTAATTAATTGATAAATTAATTAATTATTAATTTTCAGAATAATTTTAGTTGATATTACAATTTTTAGGAGCTAGTCACAGTGTTTCCTACTTTTCAGAGGAGGAGGCATAAAATTTACTAATTTCAACTTTCTTGGAAGTGGTGTCAGTTTTCGCACTGTTGCAAATTTTCTGATCATACATATATTCCTTCATTACGTATCTCAAAATTCGCTGTGATCAACAATTGCCTGGCAACAAATTTTTAAGGAGCGAATGTTTTTTAAGCGTGCCAGTAGGGCTCGCTTTTTGAAATCACTTGGATGTACCATAGTACAGCACACCGATAAACCAATGCTATTCAACGGGCCGTCCAAATATTTTTTCCTCGGACCCGTTTTTTTGTCTTTGAACCGTTATACTGCCAAGCCCTGATGGTCTTTTACCAAAAAACTGAATGAACTGCTGATTGGAAACCCTTGAG